CTATTATTAGGAAGCTTGCAGTGCTGCAGATGTCTGTGTTGTAAACCAAGGGCTGGAAAACATGAACACTTTGGAGAAGAGGTAAGTTGGGCACATCTTACACAAGACTCAGGAAAACAATGTGAACAAGGAGCCACTGCCATTGTAGCTACGTGCTGTGTGCTTTGCAGCAAGACTGCTTTCAATTATGAAACTACATACAGACAGTTGCTTTTAAGGCTCTTCTGCACAGCACTCAGTGCATATGATGGTCGCAGCATCTGCCATTGAAAGGCCTAGGCATACGAAGATATTATAGAAGTGATAAAATGTATTTGGGAGCTATGTGGCATCTTCCCAGAGGGTAGATCTAGTCCATGAACAGGACTAGCATAAGGAAACATTTTTCATTTGTTATGCACCCAAACAGGAAAACTAAGGCACATTCCTTTAGGAAAACACAAAAAACCACATATAAAGGACTACAACAATTCAGGTTTGGACAATTTTGTCTAGAGGCAGTAACCTTGTACTCATAATCATGAATTCAGGTTAAATTTTATGTTAACCTAAAATGAAATTTATCTTTTTTTCCCTCACTACCAGATCAATGATAAAAGCAGTGCAGTGTATGCTATCAGCTGAGAGCTTTTGCTACACTGCACATCAAGTAAGTTCATCTGTGTTCTACAGTAGGTGCAAAGTAGGTCAGGGATAACACTCAGAGATCTAGTCAGTATCATCAGATCTAGTCTAGACCTGTCAGTATGCTTACATTGAACATTTTAAGTTCTGAAATGAAGTCATCAAATATATTTTAGAAGAATGCCTTATTCTATGGAAATATGTGGAAAACGTTCAAAAATGCAGATGAAATCTTAACACTCAAACTGTGTTAGGTAAGGAAATTATGATTATAAATCAAATGCTACATAGCACTTATAAGAGGCAGCAGCAGGACTGTAAGGAGAAAACAAATCATACATTTAGCATCTAAAGTAAAAAAGTAGCAACAGGGAAATATTTCGATAGGGAAATATAAGAATAACCAGATGGGAATATGCTTTTCTTCAAACATCTGCATTAAAAGAAAACAAAATACAGCTCATATAACGGACTACCGTTTTGATTCTGTAACACACAAAACCACAGGTACTCCTACAATACTGACATTTATAAGATAGCTCTCCTAACAGGGTGCACATATGAAAGGCTGTAGAAATCTACTGTATTCCTTTGTTATGAAACAGCATACTGAGAAATCAAGGGAAGATCAAACAGTAGCACACACAAAAAAAAAAACTTGTAATGAAGGATCTTTATGATGCACTTTAAATCTTCCATTTTCAAACTAGCAATCTGTATGGAAAAGCTCCTCTAATTAACTGTTAATGTAAGCATGCAAAATATAAAATTAACAGCATTCCACAGGGTATTAAGGAACAACAAATTATGTTCACTGTGCATCACCTTTTTATTTTAGCACTGTCTGTAACAATGATTTAAGTCTATCAAAACAGAATTGTAACAGGTCTACATCAGTCAACAGATTTAGATCCTTGCTCTGCAAAGAGGATGAACAATTAGTCCAATATTAGACACATCAGGGGATCTGTATCAAATTGAGTTTTGATGCCTCCTAGATGCAAGACTTTCCTCAAAACTTTCTGAAATGGTAACTTTTGTGTTGATTAGTTGTTTTTATTGTACTTCAGCAGAAAGGATCCTTAATTTCCTTGTATAAGCTGTAGATTATAATGGCATGGCCTGAAGGTAGACCACATTTTCAAGTTCAGGTGCCAGCAGTATCATTTAAAAATGCTATTCTCACTTTTCCCAACTGAAATCTGTAACTGGAGGCATTTATGCGTGAAAGTTTAAAATTTTTAAGAAAACCCGTTGTATATATTTTTAAGGTTTTGTTATTAGACTGTCACTCAGATGAACTAGACTGTAAACCACTGACAGCCCTGCTCTCTGTTCTGGAGACTATTCTTTGCTAGAGATTCAAAATACTCCGGTCTTTTAAAGACTTTTCACCCCATGCTCTCATCATTTTAAGCACTACTTAGCAAAGCATTCCAAGTATAAGGTAATTCAAGAGTTTGCTCACATTCAAAACCAGTGAACATTCACACTCTGACTTTCAAAGTCCATCATCTTTTTCTGTTATGTACAAAAGAAGCCTTTCAGAAATGCTGAACTGCCTTGAGGGAAAGCTAACTTGTCTACACAGAAAAGCTAAACCTCACACTTCGATGTCTGAAGTGAAGTTGACTACACCTCTGCAAACTGGCCAGGAGTTTTTACAGAGATAAAAGGAGGTAATGTGTTGCTCTCTTCCAGTAACTAGAGCTGAAAGAAAACCATTACTTACTGATTTATTTTGTGGATGTCAAATTATGTTAGCACTTCAATTAAATCAGTTTTAATGAATTACATCAAAGGTACGTTTCACTAAAAAGAGAATTAATAAAGCCTGTTGTTCCAAAGGCAAATGGCAATAATGTGAGCAGAAAGCAAAGAAAAAAGAAATCTTTTATTCTACATCTATTCTTCTTCAGAGAATCCCATTTGCAAATGAGTTGACATTATGAAAATGATGTCACTTTCTTCATTTACTACACCTGTGGTCTCATACCGTACTGGATAAAGTTTAATACATAAATTACACAGAACTGTAGGGGTTAGAAGGGACCTCTGAAGACCATGGAGTCCAACTTCCTTCCTAAAGCAGGTTCCCCACTTGTATAATTAATGGATATCAAGATGTTACAATCACAAAATAAACAAGAGAGTTAGGCAAAGTGGACTATGATGACAAAAGAGAATAAATGGAAGGCTTACCCTTGTGCTGGGCTCACCCACAAAACACCAGAAGGAGGGATCTCCAGATGAGATCCTTCCCCACTGGTAGCCAGCTCTTAAATAGGTCTAGGAGGGGTGGAGCCTGGCTCCATCCCTTCCGGCAGCACAGCTGAATTGCCTTCAGCTGTGCTCCTCTGGCTGACTCATGGCTCACCTCAGGTGATCAGTCAGAGGTTCAGGCCGTGACTCAGCAGTTCCCATACACCACTGTAGGTTGAACAGGAAAGCATCCAGGCAGATTTTGAGTATCTCCTGAGAAGCAGAGTTCACAGCCTCTCTGGGCAGCCTGTTCCAGAGTGTTCTGTCACTCTCACAGTAAATAAGTGCTTTCTCATGTTCACATTAAACTTCCCATGTTCCAGTTTGTGCCTATTTCCCCTTGTCCTGGCACTGGGCAGCACTGAAGATTCTGACCCCACCCTCTTGACACCCACTCTTCAGATATTATCAACATGGCCAACCTGCAGTCCACCTGAACACCCAGATCTTTCTCAGAGCTCGCCTCCAGTAGGTCAGCTGCCTAGCCCATATCGATGCAGTCATTGTTCTTCCCCAGGTGCAAGACTCTACATTCACTCTTGTTGAACCTAAAGGTTCCTCTCTGCACAACTCTCCAGTCTGTCCAGGCCTCATTGAAAGGCAGTGCAGCCTTCTAATCTCAGCCACTCCTCCCAGCTTCCAATTACAAAGTAATAATAATAATTATTTACTATTATGCTAATTGTAGGCAACTTTTCTCCTCGTGATTACTTAACTACAGAAAAGGATGCCAGGACTAAGAGTAAATGGACATTGAAAAATATCCCAAAAGTTTTCCATAAACATGAACTGACAAATTACTCTGTGCATTGTTGCATCTTTACTGTTACTAGCTATTTTCTCATATTGCCATTATATATTCACATATAGCACCGCATCTAATATGCATTTGCATACATTCATTAACTTCATAAATGTACTCCACTACGTTCTAGACATCAGTTTATGCAAACAAGCAGACTTTAATTAAACTGCTGGTGGGTGAAGGTCAACTTTTACCACATGAAGGCCCTACTTCCTCTCAAGTTTCATCAAACTACCACTTCACAGCACGTCTTCCCAGATAATCTCCATGTTTTCTGTTGTTTACTTCATACTACATATACCACCAATCTGCCTCAAATATTAGTTAGCCTGAAGAGCATGTAACCCCAACTCCAACCTTAAATATGCTTCTTTAACAAAAATATTAAGTATTACATATGCTAAACCTAACAGAACTTCAGAAGCCTCCCTAACATTACAGAACCCCCCCCCCCCACCTCCCCCCGAAAGGTCTAAAAGTACACAGTGAGAAGACTTTGCTATTTAGTGTCCTACTGTAAGAGTACTAGATTTCTTTAATTTCCTCCATCTTTCAGCAAGCCAAATAAAAATTAACCTGGAATATGAAAAGTAATATTTAACATTCTCTCAAGGTAGCAAATAATAAACTAGCATTCTTTTTACTTTTGATAACTACAAATCATCCTGCTTTTGTATTACATTACAGAATCACTCACACACTACTATGCAGTACATTTGCAATAGGCCTCTGAAGCACCTGCATGACAGCACATGAAAGCTCAGCTTCTTCAAGTATGCATAGAAACAGTTGTGAACACTTGCCCACACTACCTTTATTTCACAAATGATAAAAACTGAAACATTTTACATTTTCCCTACTAAAGAAGTAATTTTCCAAGTTAGGATTCCTTGTCATAGATGAGCAAACTAAATTACATCTTAAATGTTTACATTAAATATAAATGGCTTATGCTTGATAACATAAAGAGCAAGTGCTCGGTATTTCTTCACAAAAACTTAAGATACACAGTGACACACTGGAACAAGTTGCCCAGTGAGGTTGTGGATGCCCCATCCCTGGAAGCATTCAAAACCAGGCTGGATATGGATCTGGGCAGCCTGGTCTAGTGGTTGGTGACCCTGCCCATTGCAGGTGGGTTGAAACAAGATGATCTTTGAGGTCTTTTTCAACCCAGGCCATTCTGTGATTCTATGATATGGCTTCATTAACACCTTCAAGATTGTTCTTAGTCACATCTGTTAACATAAATAGCATCCCTACATGAAAGATGCATCCTAATAACTTTAATGAAGTTCAGTGTAGCCCATCAGAGAGAACATGTTTTAATTAACAATTCTAGTAACAGCTACAGCATACAGTACCATTTTTAATCAATCTACTGTGTTGTAATCATACAAGGCAGGAATAAGAAACCAAAGCACACAGCCCTCACCACAGTTGTACTTCAAGACTGGCTGAAAGACTTGGCTTATAACACATAACTTGATGCACTTATTTAAAACATGAGCAACATATTCTAACAAGAAGTCAGACTTCTGACTTCACAAAACTGCAGCTGAATGTAAGTACCAGTTGAATCTGAAATGCGGTAGGGAGTTAGAAAACCCCAGAAAAAAACATTGACACTTTCATATCAAATGCTTTAACAGGTTAGACAGACATCATACCCTTTGGGGGAAGTTTAATACTGCACAAATAAAATTAATTCTTGGCCAGTTTTAAATTGTAGCTTCTGAGAATGGGATCTTTATATTTAGAACACTGACAGCCCAACATCTCCGTTTTAATAGAAATTGTAGAAATAAATACACTGGGCCAAGCTATCATTATACACACCAGTTATGACAACTGTCCTAGCATCAAATCACATCAGGCAGTGATTAAGTTCAGCTACAGGATCACACACAGCTTTCCAAGTAGGTGGGAAATTAATAAAGTCAAGTCAGTAACTCTGGACACTGTATTATGGGAAGAGACAGGAGAGGCTTCAAATACATCCACAAAGTTTTCTCTAGTTTCTGAATTATTTAGGAACTTCTAACGACAACATACACATCTTCCCCTGCAACACAAACATGAGGAAGGACTCTTCTTAGAAGACAGAAATTCAAATAAGTCATGACATTTACTTACATACATTTTGGTAACACAGCTCTTTGCGGTTTAAGTAAGCAGCAAAACAACGGTATAACAAGAAATCTTGTTATGATAGCCAGGTATTTGAATGCAATCACAATATAAAGCATTTATAGAAGAACATTTGAAAGCATCATGAAGAAAACAATTGAAGCTGACAGCTGAAAATGCAGAAGTACTAGAAACTGACTCCAAACTACGAACACATTGCCTCAGAGAAAAGTGTTAAGGCAGAATAAAGCTAGGAGTGATCTCACTTTAGCATCTTAAAAGTATTTTTTAAAATTATTCCAACAGAAGAAAAAAATGTCAAACAAGTAGACAGCTAGAAGATAAACAAGAGCAGAATGATGTTACTGAACAACTTACAAACAGCACAAGAAAACAGTACAAGAAAAAAAATCAGAAGCTCATACAGAACTTTGGAAACATGCCAATATTTAGGACATAGTTTAGACATAGAGGAATGAGTGGCCTTCTAAAATGTAGGGGCAACATATAGCTATGTTACCAAGTTTGCAATTCAGCAGGACTGGAATATTAGCTAATGCAATTTGGGAATGACTCCAAGCTAGAAAACACTATTTTCTCAACAGAACATTGGCACCACTGCAATAACACTATGTTTCCTTCTGTGAAAAAAATTAGCTGAAGGGCAAATTGGCAAATATACAGAACACGGTGACCAAGTAAAAAGACTAATTAAACTTCAAACTTGATACTTTCCTCAGCCACAGACAGAATTTCTAGAATTTTTCCAATACAGTGAAAATAAATCATTTCTTAAGTTTTACATATTAAGAGATATTCAGTATATCAGAGAAGCTGGATTAGGAAAGTAAATTGGCTTCCTAAAAATGAAGTTCGATATATATGAAGAAAAGTACTAAAATCTGAGAACTCAAAGTGAATGTGTCAGGTTTCTGGCAGCAGCTATGTTAGAGACTGCAGTTCCCAATGTATATATATTTGTACTGGCAGATGCCTCTGATATAAATCCAAATGTTCTGTAAGAAGACCGCTGATTAATTTGGCTGAGGAGTAAGTACCTTTTATGTAGGTATGAATCACAATGCTGACAAAACAGATCATCACGGATCATCACAGATGCACTCAAGACAGGAACATTCTTTGCTTGCAAACATATTTTAGTATAGAACATTGTTATGCACCATATTATGTAGTAAAAACCATGGTGTCTTTTTTAAACATTAGGCACATAGTGATGGTCTATAAACTCTAAAGAACATCTACTTCAGAAAGTATATTACAAAAGAAAAGAAAAAAAAAAAAAAGCTGTCACACTGATTTCTGTAATCCAGAGCACTTTAGAATTGTAAGCTTCTGAAAGAAGTGACATTTTTTATCTTGAAGATTTTTTTCCCCCAGTAGTAGTTCAGCATATTTTTAGGCTACAATAATCTAGGGAAATGCAAAATCATACAGTTGAAAATAAAGTTGTGTTCTTTTCCAGACAAATCTCAAGTGTCAGTATGAAGAAAAGAAAGTAGTAGATGGTAAGAATGTGTTATGGATGAGATTCAACAATATACAAAACTAAAAACTACACAGCTGCACTGTTTTCATTCAGTTACTCCAAAGCAGGCAGTAAAGTCAAAACTATATGCTGGAATAGCTCATGTAAAATACATCATCAACATTTCTATATAAATGAAAGCTACAATTTTCAAGTGTAAGGTGACTATTCAATATGAAAATAGGAATTTTAAACAAAACTCAAATTATTCCTATGCACTTCTTCAGAATTCTGTTCGAGTCAGCATTTGGCATAAATTTATAGTAATCCAAACTAAATGACAGCAGCATAGCAACAAATGACGGTCTAATGAGGAATGAGTGCCTTCATAATTTCCACAGTATCTACCTGTATGAAAACATTTAAAACTGAGGTGTTTTAAGTGCAGGAAATATTTCTGCTGACTATAATAGTCACTCTAGAAGAAAAACCCTATTTGGAGCAACAATGTTTAACATTTAAAGCTTTGTCCTCAGTAACATTTATTCTACAATCATATGCTCACTTTGTTACATGTTGTGCACTTTATACATCCATTACATACACAAAATGTTTTAATTTGTTTTCAACGAGTACTAAGAACAAATCATGTCTCAAGTATACCAAACTGGTCACATTTATGTTGCTCACATAAGTTTAGTCTTTGATTGTACAAATAGTTTAAAATTCTGCAATCACAAGTCTTAAAATAGTTACATTCAGGTTACATTCTATCACTGTTACCTAGGTGCATCATTTTTCAATCCCATCAGAGGATGATCAATACTACAAAGATTATCATTTCTCACATATGTGTACAATTTACTCCTTGTCTTAAGTATAAATTTGCAACACAGTAGTAACACTGCAGGTACAGAAGTAATGCTTTCTTATCAGGCATGTGAAAAGACTAACTCTACCACAGTTGATGCTGGTGTTTATGTAGAAGGCTTCTCACGTGTCATTTCAGTCTATGGGAGGTAGATGTTTGTCTATGAACTGTTTTATATCCATCATCTCCTGCTCAAAGATAAAGGTACATATTAGTTAAGTTCCTTGCTAAATACATTCACTAAATAATGTTTCAAAAGTTCAGTTATTGTGGGCAGCTGGGCTAAGAATATTGAGCGTTTCATTAGTTATTTGACATGATTTAATTACTTGGCACACAACAAGTCAGTGCTGTTAACTCTTCAAGGCACTAAATGTATCTTTACTCACAAATGCTTAAAATACAAAAAAAAAAGAGCAGAGGTCACCTTCTCTGACTTTCTCTATTACATATTAATCATGTGCACTGAATAGCACCAGGTTGAGGCTGGACTGGATTTGAAGGTAGCTAAAGCTGTAGCTTCATGAAAAGCCAGCAGCTCCTCCTCTTAGCCAAACTGCTTTACCTGCCTGATGCTTCTTCCTTCAGTTCAGAGAAGCAATTAAGTGAATTAGACTGCAAAACCAATCCACATTAAAAAATAATTTATTTTCTGGAAGTTTTGTAACTACATCAGCTCCTTCATCAGAATACACAATAGGAGTACGTGATAATAGAAATTTAAGCAAGTGTAGAAAATACATGAGGTTATGGCCCCAAAATTATAAATTATGAAAAAAATAGATCACATGGTACTAAGTATTGTAAAAAAGAGCACATATTTACACATTTGCATGACAACTTCATGTTTTTACTGCCTAAATGCAATAAAACTGCACAAATATCCCAAAAACTTTCTTCAAGAGATGCGGTAATCCAAATTAAGAAAGTTACTGCTACAGACAAGTGGAAGACCTGTTCCTTGTCACCTCCTCTAACTCCTATCATTTACTTTGTGTACATTCAGATGCTTCAACTCACTAAAGCAGCAAAACTTATGCCAGCAATCTTTACTATTTTTGCAAATTAAAATAGTTCAAAGAAATCTCTCTCATCAGCTCCAGAGCTAGTATTGGAGGAGAGCACCAAAAAGTCATGAGCAGAAGGAACTAGTCCACCTTTTTCTGGCAGTTGCAAGCTATTATTAAATCAGCTCAATTGTTTTCTGAGCCAGAGCCATAAACACATTTTGTGGCTGCCACTTCCCTAATATCAACCCTCCTTGCACATTTTTCTGATGTCTCCATTCAAAACCACACAAAATTCTCCTCAAAATATCAAGTTGCACTGGTGCTGTGAGAATTCAGTCTGCCTTCTAATTCAGTAATTATTAATGTGATTAATACAGCTTAGGAAAAAAAAAAAAATTGCTTTACAGTTCAGCTAGCCCAGTCCCAAAAATACAGTCCTCTGAGGAACTTCCCACTGGTCATATAAACTTTTCCCTTGGATGTTTTTTCAGACAGACATTCAATATTATAGCTATTCAGTAAAATAAGTCAGTAGCATTATGTGCTTTTAATTGATAAAGATAAAATTTGAAAGCCCTAGAATTGTTTTGAGGAAAAAATAAAACCATACTTAGCTAAAATATTTATATTAAGAACATTACCTCAATACATGAACTATGCATCATGCCAGAGTAAGTTCTGAAGGTTATATTGGCTGGATTTATCATACTCTTTAGCTTCTCAACAGTAAGAGAACCAAACATTAAAGGAACAAGTGGGTCACAGTCCCCATGGCACTGAAGAACAGGAATCTCCTTATTGACACCAACAGCACCCTGTCAGGGGTGAGAAGAGAAGGAGGAGAAAGTAAGCAGGGTAACTTCAATATCTCTGGGAGAAAATAATCCCAGGGCACTACTCCTTATGGTGTGACAAAGTGAATTCTGAAGGGGGAATAAAAAACAATAAACAAGAAGTCCTGCAAAACAAAATTGACACTGATTTCAGAACAGTTTTTAAAACATATGATTTCATATGAAAGTCACGTTAAGCAGAGGTAAACTGCTGAGTACTCCTTCAATTCCCCTTCTTGCTAGAATTTAAACCCCCAGTGCCCTACTCTGAGAACTGCTGAGTTATCCAGCTGCAGCTAATACTCAGTAATACTAATTCCTGCACAAGATACAATCTTCAGGTATACTCATTCTGCCAGTGCTAAACCGCTTCAGAAAGAATAAATAAATACCTGAACAAAAGAGGAACGCAGAGGAAGCCAACAGCTGAGGGCTACAACACCTGCTAACTTTTGATGCGTTGTAAGAGCTGTATACAATGATAAAGCTCCACCCTAAAATAAACAGATTCGTATTAGAATGGTGAAGGTAATGTTACTTGTAAGCTTTGTTTTACAATCTTTGGTTTCTCCTTTAAAGAACTTCTTCTATTCCAATTTATTCTTCCTTAGAATCAATACTAAAAGCAGTATTCTTATATGCACTTGTGCTTTTTTTTTTCCCTTCAAGCTCATGTGATCAATTCACAAGTAAAACAGAAAATGTACCACAACTGACAGCTGAAACCCAAGCAAGAAATAAAGCAGTGTCACTCATGACAGCATCATCTCAAGTTTATTATTTCAATTCACTTCAACACAGACTACAGAGTTGATCTACGGACCTAATAGGTCTGTAGAATATTGGCCCAATTAGGATATTTTAGAAGTACAAATGATGGAAATATATTTCCCTAACAAATCCAGACCATGAAATATCTATCACACTAAAGGTAGATTAAAATGCTAGCAAGATGTTAAAGAAAAAAGATTTTCATACAGCACTACAGAAGGTACATACATAACTAATAACTTGCTATTAATTTTAGTAACTTTTTTCCACAAGTTCATTTGTCAGTGAAAATTAATTATTTAGATAAACTTTGGTTATTCAGGCAAAGAGAAACTGACACCTCAAAATGTCAGAAGCAACAGACACCCATTCAACTTTGGATTTCCCACATTAGGAAAGCTAAGCTGTTCCCCTAGAAGAAGATGGTTCTAACTATACCTTACCTGAGAAAAGCCTCCCAGAATAATTCGATTGGAAGGAATTCCATTTTTTACTTCTTGATCTATGAGTGCTTTAACTGCAACACAAAGGCCAGTAATTAAAATGCACTCTGTTCTATAGAAAGTCTAGGAGAGAAGAGAGACCACCTCCCTGTCTGGATGAGGAGCTGTGAGATATGGTTTAGTAGTTTGTGGTAGCAGTGGTAATGAGAAGACAGTTGGACTAGATGATCTTACAGGTCATTTCCAACCTTGTGATTCTATGATTCTCTGATGCCAACATAAAGCTCATGAGAGAAAAACCTTGTCTGCTATACAATAACAAAGTACCAAAAATCTAGGATGCAATCAAAAATTCCAGTACCACTATATAACTTCTAATCAGGAAAACATGCAAGGAAGTCGTCTACTGCCTGGAAAACGGTATCGTGTTCTAACTATCCAGCATGACAAATGAATGCCCACATAGCTTCAACTTCCTATGCTATCCAGAAGGATATCTTAAAAGGGAAGAACAAAAACAAGCATACAGGCTTCCTTGTCTGTTTCATCTTTGAAGGTTTGAAATGTATGAAGTGTTTTCACTCATGAACTGCCTACTTAGTCATGAAGCTTTATAAAAAAAAAAAAAAAAAAAAAAAAAAAAAGCTAAATTTAGATACAGTGCATCCATATTACCTTTCCTAACAATTTTGTCTTCTTCAATCTAATAGGCTCTTCCAGACTAATCCCTAGCTCCTAGCAATACATGGAAGTACTTTCAAGACTGAAAAAGAATTCCTAAACATACCATTCTCTGCTGCCTTTTTGATCCCAACTTCATCTTCCTGCGAATCTGGAGAAAGTCCAACGATATCAAACCTTACAAAAATATCAACAAGAGCATTACTCGTTAGAGCATCCATTCCACTACTTTAAAGCACAACACTGAGATACTTTCCAAACTAGAATGCTTGCTGGCTGACATATTTCAGACCAATTACCCACAATTTCCGAGAAATCATGAACAATAAAATGCTTGACCTAAAACGTTGCTAATTTGCTAAAATACTTGAGGCTACAAAGTTTTTGAGAGCTTCGCTTTCTTCTGTCATTTATTGCAGATTAAGCAGCACGGTTTTGATATTTGCTCCAAAAACATCAGCAGGGACTTAAATTTAACCATCACGCATGCAAAATTAAAATACTGTTTGAAGAAACAAACTCAAGTTACTTCAAGAGCAGAAAAAAATCACGAGGGCTTGCTTAAGAACACTGAAACTACCGTATTTTTCCTCCTTTCTATTCAGAATGGATGTTCTAAAGAACAGTTGCTAGACATCCTAATTCTACTGATGCACTAAATATTGCTCACTTAGTAGCAATGGCATTTATATTCAAACCTCTGCTACTACTGACCACAAATCCATATACAACACAGACTATAGATTATAGATGTAAAATCAGATTATTTTTTTCATATAGTTTAATACATGCAGATTAGAACTGAGAATAACCATTACCACACATACACAGAAAACTGCAGTATACTTTGAGAGCCCTTTTATAGAAGGAAACTGAAGCAAAAAGCTTTTAATACTTCCATCCAATTCAAAGAAGCCATTCAGAATGTTCCGGATTTTTAATTAAGAACAGTGAGCTCAGACTTCTAGATATCTTTTGAATCAAACTGTTTGCAGCTTAATAAATACTCACCATGATGGCATAGCCATGTTCATGTTTAAAGTAACCGGCATAAATGGCCTAAGAACGAGAATGAACAACACTGATGTAAGGTACATGCTGAAATTTAATTATGCAGATGCAGTTACGTCATTGAATTACATCTCTCTTTTTCTTCCAAACCATAATTAACACTAGCTACCCTGTAGTGTGTCTTCAACTAATCTCCCTTGAAATCAGTCTCTCCAAACACATTTATTATTCAGGGCTGACCTTTGCTTGGAGATCAGGCAAAACATTAACGGGCTGTTTTATATATACACCCACACATGGAAAATACAAGCATATATATGTTCCATGTAGCTATTTCTAAATAAGACTTGTATATCACAGTTCCACAGACAGGCTCAGTGGATGAAGGCAACATACACAGCATCAGCAAACCTAACAATCAGCAAAATGCAGCATAATGGCAGAGCCTAGCCACACCTGTTCCCCTCAGCAGCAGAAGCTGCTTAAGCAATGCCTGACTCCATTCAAAGACTCACTCCCACCCTCATGCTGCTGCTGTACGGCATCTTCTCAGATAACTTCACTTGACTGCATGAGGAATCAAACGTGGCTGTTTTAATCAACTGAAACAGAGGAACATAAAGTCTGCAGGGAAGACTGAAAGGAGACAAAGGGCAATCAAAGAGAACAGCTTGCTTACTTATTGCTGTTAGAGAAGAAGAAAATCTGAATTTTGTGTTAAAGTAAACTAAAAGCATTAAGATACATCTAGGATTATTTACTGACTCCTCACCCTGCTCAGTACTTCAGTTCTCAAATTGCAAAGAGAGCCCCAAAATGCATTATTTGCAGAAGATAAAAGAATATCCTGCGAACCTCTGAAATGCTCTGTATGTAACATGGAAATTGCAACTACTATACACACTCAGGTTTAAGACATGTATGTGCATAATGCAAAGTTTATTTAATGGTGAATAAAACAAAAAATTACTCCTTGTTAAGAATGGCTTGTAATGAGTGACGGGGGTGAGGAGATACCTCAATCAGGTGAAAGCATAAAGTCAAAACAATCTAACTTTATATCTAGAGATTTTCAATTTGTTTTCAGCCTGAATGAGTAATAAAAGCAAAAATGAATGCAATTTTGTCCAAAGGTTCCTAAAAAACAACAAAATATTTAATAGAATCAAAACTGTTTTCAGCGTCTTTTTAGCTGAAAGTTATAGCCATCCCAAATTCCATGCGATTCATCACCCGCACAAGTACCTCAGTATTGAACTACAGAAAAGATGAAACAAGAAAAGTTACAAACTTACGCGTGTGGGCAAATGTATTTTACATGGGGGCTTTTGATACCTGCAAGTGCTTCTGACCATCCATGCCTGTTAACAAAAAACACATTGTACGTCGTTTATGTACTAGCTCAGCTCCTATGTTTATCTTGCTGAAACTACACAGCACATATAAAAATGCTGAATAAGGTCAATATTTCTAGAAGAACTGTACAGATAGGCCAATACGCTATGAATACATTACTAAATGTAAAGGTTTATCCTGCTTCTGAGTATTTGTTGCGTATATACAGACAGGGACACTTTATCCAATTTTATCTAGACTATCACAGTTGTGTCACAGCTGCAGAAATACCACTTAGGCTCTGTTTAAAGCCTGCTCTTTACCTGGCTGGATTTAACAGCTTTGGCACTGCAACATATGAACATATGAATGTGTACTGCTTCCAGACTCAGCACTGGCACAGAGTTCACTGTGCTGTTCCTGCAGAGTTAAGGCAGCTTTTTTCCACGGGCAGCCTTCTCATTTTTGACTGCATCTATTGATGTCGGAGAGAAAAAAACCAACACCTAAGCACAGACCATGTAGAGCCAACTCAGTCAAACCAGGCATGCTGACTTCGGATAGCCTGCATGCTCTCAGAATCACGCAGTTTTTCAAATCTCAAGCATATGCTGCATGAAAGCACAGAGCCCAAGGTTTGCCCAGGACATGGGCCATCAAGCTTCCTAGAAACCAGGTAATTGGAATCACTATTTAAATTAAGAGCTCAGTGAGATTCACGCTAGGGCTGAACTACGCTTGTACACAACTGGACCCAAAGCCAAATCTGTGCATAACTGCTGGCTGTGTCTGTACTTTTCTTCAAACATTCAACAGTCACTGGATTTCCTGACTTCTCTCATTATTCAGCACCCCTAACTCACTCAGCACACTGGGTAACAAAGAGACATTTCTAAAGAGAAGACACCTGTAACAAACTCAGTGACATAGCTGAATTTACTCAACCAACAGCAGACCAGCCATAACACCCTGTTTTCAGTATCATCCTAAAAAGTTAATGCATACTGCATGAAGTGAAGGCGGTTTCAAACACATAGAGTGCACAGGCATTTGAAATCCAGGCTGGATATGGCAACCTGCTTCCTACCAGTACAAAATATGTTACTAACAAAGAGTGGGTGATCTGACTCGCAGAGTGTTAATAATAAAGCACAAAAGACCAAAGAAGGATCTAAAGGAAAAAGATGACTGAGAACACCTGGTTAGATTTAAAAAATCGGAGATTTTTTTTCTTTTAGCCACGTGTAAAGACTAATTTGACAAACGGCAAAAACCACATCGCATAAACATGCACGCTGACTCTCTGTGTTGCACACTTTCTTCAGATTTTGACAATCGTGCAGTCAGCCGAGCGGATGCAGCAAGGTACGAAGTTTAAGCAACTTTCAGCGGCTCCCATCTCTAAGGCACGCAACCTCACACCCGGAACCCTTCACAGCTACAGGCAGGCACTAACACATCGACATACACACCCGGTATCTCCCAGTCCGTGAAGAAAAATCACCTAGGAAAAATAAAATCGCGCTATAAGACAACTTCAAGAAAGCGAGACCCCCGGGCTGCAGCCCCCGCCCCACCGCCCGCAGGAGGCGCCCAAAGCGCCGCGCGGCACCACGCCCGCTTTCCACCGCGACCTTTCCAGCACCAGGCGAAGGGGACCCGTGGCGCTGCGCGGGCCTTTCACCGCCCGCTCTCAGCAGGGCCCGGCCTCGCCGCGGCGTCACCCCCAGGCCGCCGCCGCCCCCGGCCCGGCGGAGAACAAAGCGGGGCGGGAGCCGCCGCCCGTCAGAGTTCCCGAAACCTGCGCTGTCGCGCCCACTTCCCGCCCGGACTCACGGCGGCCGTCGCCTTCCTGGCGGCCGGGACGATGGCGGGGAGCGGCGCCGACATGTTGTTGCCGCACATACACCGGACTGCCGGGCGGCCGCGGGACTACGGCCAACGGCGGGAGGCGGGGCGGGGCGGTGGCCGGGGGCGGGGCTGTTCCCGCCGTCACCGCCCCGATTGGCTGCGGTGGGGTTGGCGGGAGACCGGGGTGGCGCAGGGGAAGCGCTGCTGGGTGCTGGCGGCTCTGAGGGAAGGCAGCGCTGGGCTTCTTCAGATTCTACACAGCTGCTTCTGCTTTGGGGTTTGCAGCAATTACGAAGGGATTTTGCATGGAGGAAAAGGTGTTAGCCGATGTTTGGCTGAACGTGAGCCAGCAGTATGCCCAAGTGGCCAAGAAGGCCAATGGCATCTTGGAGTGTGTCAGAAGTAGTGCAGCTAGCACGAGCAGGGAAGTGATTGTAGTCAGCTTTGGTGAGGCCATGTGTCAAGTACTGTGTTCGGTTTTGGGCCCCTCACTACAAGACACCGAGGCCCTGGAGTGTGTCCAGAGAAGGGCAGTGAAGCTGTGAAGGACCTGGAGCACAAGTCTGATGGGGAGCAGCTGATAGAACTGGGGTTGTTCAGTCTGGAGAAGAGAGGACTCAGAGGAGACCTTATCCACTCTCTACAACTCCCTGAAAGGAGGTTATGGTGAGGTGGAGGTCGGCCTTTTCTCCCAGGTAACAGTGATTGGATGAGAGGGAATGGCCTCATGTTGCACAGGGGAGGTTCGTGTTGGATATTAGAAACAACTTATTTTCAGAAAGAGTGCTGAGGTATTGGAACATGCTGCCCACGGAGTGGTGGAGTCACCGTCCTTGGAGATATTCAAGGCACTGAGGGACGTGGTTAGTGGGCATGGCGTGGATGGCTTGATGGTTGGATTACATGTTCTTAGAGGTCTTTTCCAACCTTAATAATTCTATGACTGAACTGTCTTTCACCTTTAAAACTAGCTTTCAATGGGCTTTCAAATCTGAGTGTCTGCCAGATTATGCTATCATGTCTGCCACTTGACTATTTCTTATAAAAATCCATTTTTGTGCTTTGAAAGGCTTGGGGAGAAAGGAAATCTCAATGTTCTTTAGTGGAGTAATAGCAAATACTAAGTCACGGGAACCAGGAAAAACAGCAAAAAACAAAACAAAACAAAAACCCTGAAACAACAGCAGGCAACACTGTTGGACAGAACTCATTTGTCCCTGTCAGATCAGATGCTTGCATCAGTGAATTGTGGTTTATGGCCAAAGAGTGAATGCCTCTTATTCATTTGTTCATTCCAAGAACTCAGACAAACTCTGAATTAGTATGGTTAACACACTGCTGCAAGAATGAAATGTTTTGTCTTCTGTTTCATGCATCTTTGTCAGATACTTCCTCCCAGGGAGTCAATCTGCTCATTGTATTTTGCTGGGTGGTATCTGTCGGAGCTCAGTCACTGTTTGGCAACTCAAACAGCAGCTGAATGTGCACTGTGTTGTGTGAAAGCACACCCATCCTGCTGGCATGTTCCATACCAGGCAGGGGTAGTTTTCTACTACGTAAATTCTTCTCGTGTCTTACTATCTTTGTCAGCGTGGCTGCATAAATTATGTTGGAGAGGTCTTTGCACCAACTGTATAACTTCAAGTACACAACCTCTTTTGCCATGACTGGTGATGCTGTTCTGATACCTATTATCTATGGTAGGGGGTTTCCACTGTTGCCATATTGTTATTTTTAATAAGGCCTCTATGTTTTATCTCTGTGCTTTAGTTCTTGTAACACGTATGATACCCAACTCAAATCTGCTACAATGATGTTTACCAGATTGTCTTTTTTATTCAACAAAGGTAACCCTCCAGAGGTGACCTGATGCAACTTCTGCTGTGCAGGGCCTGATGCCTGCTGACAGCTGGGCCAAGTGGTTGATCACTGCATCTGGACTGACCTCAGCTGAACTGCCAGCCCTGCCAGTGCTGCTCAGAGCTGCTGGAGGAATGCAGCTCTGTGCACACAGGGTGGCTGGGAATTGCACAACAGCAGAAGGGCAGTGGGGCACAGGGCATCCTGCTGCCTGCAGGCAAACAGCACAAGGCTCGTCTTCCTAAGGGAGCCACTATTAGCTTCCAAATTGTGAATCTTTCAAAGCTTCGTGAGTTGGATGTCTTTAGAGCGAGTTATCTGCATACGAATATTTTTCTACAAAATTTATGGTAATGAGAATTTTACAAGGGAGAACGTGTCTAAACTGCGTATTTTCCCCTATCCTAGTGGCTGAAATTGACACAGATGGTTTCCCATACCAGCATTTTATGTACATTGCTGGATAGTTGGTGTTTCTGAACACCAGGAGAAGCAATACAGACTTCAGCCTGTAACTCGATTTCCAAATGTCCCTCTCACCTGTTGCTTACTGGCAGAACAGTAAAGGTTACCAGGCTGAGCTGCATGCTAACTTCTATGAGATCTGTGTGCTGCGTGCCCTAAGTCACTCCTGTTCATAAGCAGCCTGTCGGTTTTAAAATGCTTGGCTTTAAAACACGGGGCTGAGGGCAGTGCGAATAATACAGGAGTGAAGAACTAAGCCCAGTTTGGGTCCAAAGCCATTGGCACTGTCTGCTGAGAGGACTACCTGACGCTTCACTCGCGCTTCCCCGTTTTCGCAGCACGTAGCCCAATCGCAGCTATCCGGCGGAGCGGAAACCTGACCTACTCCATCTCGTGCAACCTCCTCCACGCTCCCTTCCTCTTAGGCTGTGGCATTGCGCGACAGTGCTGGGAGGCGCGGTTTACGGCTCTTGCCGTAAAGCAGCTCTGCCTGGGGAGCGCCGCAGTTGTCCTTGGGAGGGCAGTGGCGATGAGCGGGACTGGCGTGCATGGGGCTCTGCAGCTACTGCGGTCGCTGCCTAAGGTCAGCTTGGCCAACCTGAGGCCCAGCCCGGGTTCAAAAAAGCCGGTGAGTGCCTGTGGCTGGTCGGGTGGGTCTCGGGCTCCCTGTTGCTCTCAAGGGCCGTCGCAAGGTCTCTGGGAGACCGCGGCAGGCCTGGGAGAGCTGCCCAGTTGGAACGAGGTGGGGTGGCCCCGTATCCCTTAAACCTGTGTGCATGTGGCCATCTCCACGGACAGCTGGCTGATGGGCGGCCCTAACTAGGCCTTAGGGCTACTGTAGTGGTTGAGCTACATTAAAAAGTATATAAAATACCAAACATTTATGATTGGGAGTAACAGTACGCATGAAAAAGGAGAGGCTAGACAGAAAGTCATTCCAGCCAGCATTTGTTATTAGCAGTGATTGTTCCAGAACAAAACTGAATTCTCTCTTCTCATCCCTACTTATAAAACAATAGAGAAGTAAGAAAAAGAAGCCCAGCTGGAGGCAAGAAGAGTCATAGGAATAGAGAACAAACAGAACACCAGGCATCCCTGGCAGTGCTCCCCAGAGATGCTAACAGACCTGTTGAGTTCTGCATGTTTGTAATCACACAGGCCCATGCCATGGCAGGAGAACCGATATTCTTTCCCACTGTGGTTATCAGGGGTTCTACTTTCAAGCTGCTTCTCTAGATGCAGCTTTGTCAAGGTCATAACGACCTGGAAGGGAGACCCTGTGTGGGGCTGGTGTCCTTATTTTTTTCTTTTCTTTTTTTTTTTTTTTTTTCAAGCTAATCACACCCATGTTGTCTAAGCTTGAGGTTTAAAGGAACTAATGTAATCAGTTCAAATGAGTGTATTTAAGTGCATGTTACTTCACTAACAGATGTTGTGACAAGAACCAAAATGTTTTGATTAGCCCCACTGACAATCTAAAATGTGGTTAATATACCAGTTGCTTCCTATTTTTGACCACAAATTGGTGTATGTGCAGGCAGCTGCCAGAAAAGATGGGCCAGTAATGCCCTCCGTCTGCCTCCAAGTACTTTCACTCCTGCTTTGTATTTGTGCTGATGCTAAAGGTTCTGTGGTGAGCCAGATCAAGGAATGAAATCCCTGAAAACTAATTAGACAAAAAATAATTTTCATCCGGTTTAATTTCCTGATTTGTCTAATGCAGAGCTATGCAGCACAAAAGATTCTGTAAATTAAGCAGCACAGTGTGTGGCTTAGGGATGAGACAGCTTCCATTAGTGGCAGTAGTGTAGTCTAGCATGAACTTGCACTGGAACTCTGTGCTATTTAATATTAATACGGATAAGCCTTGCCTTGTTTCAAGTATGTTAATGATTTTTTTTAAAGTTATTTATAGCCACATTGGCTTTTTTCTTAATATGCCAGTGTACATTAAGTTTTCCATAACTTAATAAAAAGCATTTTAAAAAACAACAGATTTTTTGTCTTTGTGGCAGTTCTCAAACCTTAGTTTTACTAAATATTCCCTGCTGCAGTATAACTGCAATGCATGATTTACAGTATTAGGAGTGCCCACAGTTTGCCTGAGTGTTGGATGCGAAAAATTAGAATGTGAAGAGACTTAATGAAATCTTTTTACTAATGACTTATTTAAATTATTTTTGAATCAACAGTGATTATGGAGTGACTTAGGATATCAAAGGTTGCTTGTTAATGTTACAAATCATGTTTAAAATGTGTTGCTTTACGTATTTCTCAGTATGACTGATTCAGATTGAAGAATACAGTGGAAAACAGCAGATACTTGTGGAGACATGAGAGCGTGAGCCATTAAATGGAAAAAAACTTTGTAGAATCAAATGCATTTATCAAAGTGATGTGTAGATGTGGTTGTGCCTCTTGGAGCTCGGTAGCAAACTCTTAACTGTGCACCACAGTGGTGAGGAATCTGAGGCTTGTGGTTTATCCCTGACAAAGCATGAGGAAATCAAAGCGACCTTTAGTTCCACAAAATCTTTGGTATGTAAGATAAAGTAATCTTACACAGTAGATTTTTAATAGCTAGGTTGGTGTGGGCTGACACTGCTTCATTTCAAGTTGGTACAACCAGATGCTCATTTCCACCATTGTTTAATGCCTGTCTTGTGATTATGCAGATAATTGCATACTTGTGTTCTGCTAAATGATGTAACTCATCTTTTCTGATACCTTTTTTTTCATTTGCTGTTTGCCACTTAGCTGTGCAAATGCTGTTGCAAGAGGGTTGCTAACATGCTACTTGTGACTGTGGTGCTAAGTTGAAGTTCAGCATAGTTTCACAGCCTTAGTTTAAGCACTAATAAAAGATTGAAATATAATCCTCTTCAGATCTGTAGTCAGTAGTTACAGACTTTCCAAAAAATCTTGGTCCCTGGAAACGAGTTACATGTATGCATTGCAGATGTTTTCTATTCCTCTGCATCTTGAAATGTTTTGATTTCCATTGTTAGTATTTGTAAACTTCTGAGCACTAAGCAACTTTTTCATTAAACAGGAGGGAATATCAACAATTGTTGTGTTGGTTATGTCTCAGAAATATTTTAAAGATTCTTCTCTAGAAAGTAGTTAACTAAATGTATCATTTACTATTTTCAAGGAGAGAAGACGTGGCCGTGGACGATACAGAGGTAGAAAGTGTGGTCGAGGTCACAAAGGGGAAAGGCAAAGAGGAAATCGCCCCCGGTTAGGCTTTGAGGGTGGCCAGACTCCATTTTATTTGTCCATACCAAAATACGGGTTTAATGAGGGACATAGGTAAGTTCTTTCATAGTAGCACACAGATTAATCAGTCTGCTTTCTCATGAAGCCAGAATGTCTGCTATGCCAAAACATGTTATCGACTAGTTATGTCTGACAGTTACCTTGCCTACAAGCAGAATCTCCTGTTTCTCATGAGATACTTATTTATTTTAATAAATTATTTCATTTTGCTTTGCAGCTTTTCTTGTTTGCCCTTTTCTTTGCATAATCTCTCGTTTATAGCAGTCTATCCCCTACAGTTAGGCCTATTTCTCTTCTGAGAACCCTCCTCCAAACTTCCTTGTTTCTCCTTGCCTGTTGTCACAGCAGATAGCCAATTCAGCTGAGTGGAAGTGGGCACTTTGCCTTTAATGAACTCCTGTGAAGATGTTAGGCTTTAAAGTGTAGCTTTTCTTTGTTATTTCAGTTTGCTTTGTTCACCTGGAGCTCCGATGTCTGCTAGCCAAGCAATTCTGCTTTTCCTCATTGCTCTACTCGCTTAGCCCTGCAGTGGTGCCATTTATGCCTATCTGTACTCCATCTGTTCTGCCCAGTATCTTAAAAAGCTCATTAATAACAAATCTGCCAGACATTAAATTGTCCTTTGCTACAGTTTTCATCAGGTGCTCTCCCTATGTCTAATACTTCTGTCCCCTTTTCACGTTGTGCTCATTTGTGCCGTTGTCCCTCTTCCAACTTATTAACATTATTCATCCAACCTGTTTTTTCTTCTGTCTCTTTTCTTAGTGGTGGATCTGTGTGCTGGTCTTTATATTCATTTTCTTAATTATATTGACACATGGAAAACTGTTAGGTTTTTGTTATCTAATTTTCTTCCTTTTACTGTGGTCACAAAAACGTCTATGTCCATACAATGCTGTTATAGGTACTAGTAACTTCTGTTACATGCCACATGCAGACAGTTTAAGAATGAAAAGACTGATGTCTTTGTTTGTTAGTTGTTAAACTTGCAGTTTGATTTAATGTTTCATTTGCTGATATAACTTCAGCAAATAGCTGTTCAGTTTTATATTTTCAATTTATACATGAATTTATACAGACCTGTCCTCATTACTAAAGTCTATTTCAACAAGTCTTATTAGTTTTGAAGTGTTTTAAATTATATTTCCATTTACTGTCATTTCTTCCTCTTTGATTAATTTACAATAAGAGTAAATGAGAAGCACTTTTCATCCACAGAGGACATGCTACAGAATGCAAACATCGAGCTTCTCACGTTAGCAGTTTGTTACTAAACAATAACAATAGAAATCCAAGCTTCTGCAATGACAAAAATAAAAGGATCCTACTGCTTTGTAATCATATTGAGCACACATAGAAACAATAACAAAAGGTTCTTCTTCAACCTAACTGCTCTCCAGAGACAGCAATGTCTCTAGGGTTTATCTTTACTTCTTTTTTTTTTTTTTTTTTTTTTTTTTTTCTCCGTGTGGCAGGTGCAAATCCTTTTTTTTTTCAATTTTTGCTCTGTTAGGAGCTATCTGATGAGACTAATTCTGTTGCTTATCTGCCCCCCCCCCGGCTTAATTTAGATAAACTTCTCAGTTTTTCTGCAAGCGTTCACAGATTTCCAGTAGCAGCAAATTGATTGTAAGAGGATAGTTTTGAGCATCAGCAGGAATCCTGTGCAGTAGGCAGAGAGACTGGAACTGGGGAAACTACTCTGAGGATTGGATTGTGTAGTTAAATTACAACTTTATAAAAGGCAACTGAAGATTCTGCTGAAGGTGACTGCTATTGGCAGAATACTTACTTTTCCTTGGTGATAGTTTGTCTTGATTTATTTTTTTGTCAGATTTTCCAAAGGCATTACAGTGATGTTACCCAGCTGGATTCGCTTTCGTGTGGTGGTTATTCAGAATCTTGTTGAATTAGCAAGAAATGCTTATACTTAACTCATAATGTTTTGCTGCTTCCTTAAACCAACTGGCTTGTCAACAGCAAAAGGATCAGTGTCATATTGGAGGGTGGAAATTGAACACATAGTGCAATCTTGATCTGTAACTGGGACTTGTAATAAGACTCAATCTGGCTTATGGATGAGTCTTTTGCAAGCATTCACTTGGTTGTTTTAAGACTGGGTAGAAAACTGAAGATGTACTGTGTATCACTGACCAGCTCTATTAAAGTTTGAATTTTGTACATTTATTTTTGTTCCTTTTTTTTTTTTCCCCTCATTCTTCGCCAGCTGCCGACGTCAGTATCATCCGCTCAGTCTTCAGAGGCTGCAGTACCTGATTGATTTGGGTAGAGTTGACCCTACGCAGCCGATTGACTTAACACAGCTTACTAATGCCAGAGGTGTAACAGTGCAACCTCTCAAACGGGATTATGGTGTCCAGCTGGTGGAGGAGGTAGGCATACATTACAGGTATATTGTTTCAGGCAGCGTAAAGCCTTGGGTTTTCAGTTTTTTCCACACTAGACTGTCCACTTGTCCTGCTTTGGAAGCATCCTGCCTTTTTTTAAATTCCTTTTCTGTAGAATTCATGATATCAAATCCACTAGAGGGCAGCATGTGCAAGCAAAATATTAGGGAGATCTTTTAAGACCAGACAAAAGTAATAGTTAGCGGAAAACTTAACGATAGATCAAAACTTATTTTGGGACAGAAGATCAGAACATACAAAAATAAATGTATGAACATTTTTAATTGAACCCATGTAACTGAAAGGGGAGCAATTTGGGACAGTAAACAGGCAAATCATAGGGTTTTTTTTTTCAGGATAAAATGTTTCTTATAACTTTGCAGAGAAGAATGTATGTATGCCTTAAAATACTCCTGCTAATGTTACTCTAATATGTATTGAAACTTACAGGGTGCTGATATCTTTGCAGCAAAAATAAATATTGAAGTGCAGAGGGCATCTGAATTAGCAATTGCAGCTATAGAAAAAAATGGAGGTGTTGTTACAACGTCGTTCTACGATCCAAGGAGTTTGGGTAAGAATTTCTGTTGACTTCTGACTTATTAAAATATGAAGATTAAGGGTCCAAATTTCAAATGTAGAGTTTTTATTGGAAAATTGTCTACTTCATCCATTCTAAAAGCTTAAGCAAAAGATATGTTATAAAAATGTTGACCTGCAGTGTCTCCTCCATTTTCTTTTTTCTTAAAATGTTCATCTCTTTAGCCCTACTGGTGTCAATGGTTATTTACCTGTCAGCCAGTTTAAGAAATGTCAGTTGCTGTGTAAACAAAGGAACTAATAAAGGATTGATTCCTTGAGGTTTTTGTCTTTTCCACACATTTAATAACCCTTGGCAAATTCAGGGGAAGATTGATTTAAATGACGCTTGGTTGATGATATTTTTAATTTAAAATTGCTTTCCAGTTAAAATGAGGAAATAACTAAGTTAGAGAAGGTCAGAATCATTCCAATAAAAATGGCTATTGTTTTAGAACACTTTCACTGAAGAATGTGGCTTTGCTTTGCTCGAGGCTGCATCCTGCCTGGTATTCATTCATGCCATTTTTATTGACAATAATGGAGCTTTCATGTGTGAATGAGGCTGAGGACAAGAAGAGTAAGCTTCTTTTGTACAAAATATGTTGTTCTAGACTAATATAAGCAATTCTTTTTTTTCCTAATCCAGGAAATGATCAAATATTTAGTTTAAAAACATCTGAAATGTATTTTGTTAACTGTAGATAAAAATGAGGTGAGGACAGTTTCCCAAATGTCCAGACAGACTCATAGAATGGCTCAGAAGGGGCCTTGAAGATTCTCTAGTTCTATCTCCCTGTCCCCCACTGTGGGCAGAGTTGCCACCCACTCAGTCAGGCTTTGAATAGGGCCAGTGAATGCACAGCTTCTCTGGGCAATCTGTTACAGTGCCTTTGAGTAAAGAATTTGTTCCTTATGTCCAATCTAAATAAACTTCCTGTTGACTTTTTGTTTAAAATACTTAAGGAAACATTGAAGTTGCCACTTGTTGACTGTGTAAATAGTGATTTTTAACGTCTTAGCCAGTGCTTTAAGCCAGAAGATGCCATCTTCCTCAGTGTTATCTTTCCAATGAAGTCATTATAAATGTATTGCAAATGATAACTCATCTAGACTGTTCTGATATTTGTGATGACACACGTCTTTGTTTGGATAGGAAAATGGCATTTCATTCTGAATAAGAATATTCCTAAGATTTGGTTTTTGCTTGGTACGTTTTTATTAAGTTAGCTTAATATGTTATTTAGCACAAAATACTGAGTGTAATTTATTGTCCCTAAATAATGATTATAAAAGATCGTATCTGATCTCTTTTCTTTGCAGAGATTTTAATTAAGCCAGTCCCATTTTTCCTGCGTGGCCGGCCTATTCCAAAGCGAATGCTTCCCCCTGAAGACCTGGTGCGTTACTACACAGATGCCAATAATCGTGGGTACCTGGCAGATCCATCTAAGGTTGCAGAAGCCAGACTTGAACTTGCCAAGAAGTATGGTTATACCCTACCAGACATAACTAAGGATGAGCTCTTCAAAATGTTAAGTACGCGCAAAGACCCTAGGCAGATATTTTTTGGTCTTGCTCCAGGATGGATCGTAAACATGGCAGACAAGAAAATTCTGAAGCCAACTGATGAGAGGCTGCTAAAATACTATAGCTCATGATTTCAGGACTGGAGACAACTGCAGGTGTACAGGAAACATCTGGATATGAAATAATGGATACAAAGTGGTGTTTGTTTTTTTTTTTTTAAGACTCCTGTTACACCAGACAAAACAGAAGTTTTTGTTTATGTAATCTACTGGCGTAGCTTTTGCTCTTTTTGATTGTCAGAACACCGTGTATGAAAAATCTGAACATTTGGAAGCAGTGTGAAGTCTGAAATAAAGCATGTATTTGGGCATTTTCTCTTGCTATTATTTGCCTATTATATTTTTTGCAGAAAAAATAGTTTGGCACTGTACGTTTCAGTGGATGTTTCTGAAGAGTAGCTTGACTTAATAATTAGTTTATATTTGGATGGAAACCGTCAAAGTACAGAAGAATTCGTTAACCTCTTCAAGTTCATAGCAATGTTCTGGATTTTGCCACTGCCAAAAAATCACAATTTGCTTCTTTTTTTTTTCTTTTTTGTCTTGTAGTCATTGCTTCAGATGGAATTTACAAAAGCCACAGTGTGTAGTTTGAAAGAACTTCATCTGAATTCCAAAAACAAAAGATAACTGTCTTAACAGCTGCTTTTATTCAAATGGAACTTAAAAGCTGTCCAGGTGCAGATATAATGTCATTGCTAAACATGCTCAGAATTCAGTGACAATGAATATTAGTAGTGCATCCAGTGACGTTAGATTATGAAGGATGAATGAAGAACATATGTGATGGACAAAACATACAATAAGGATTCAGTTTTCAACTTGGTCATACTGTGTGGTAGGAGACTAATTCAGGTTTTGTAAAAAAAACCTGCGAATTATTTTTGTAGAACACAGTATGTAACAAGAACAGCTTGATACAAAGTGGGTAAACATTTTCCAACAACTGCTTGTTTTATCAATAATACTGAAGTATTACAATCCTAAGTTTTATCTGGATGCTTAGGATTGGGCATTTTGGGATGACAAACCACGCAGTAAATCGAAAGGAGAATCTTAAGTTAGTTTGTGAGTGATTGATCTGACTCTTCACAAGTTAGTGAGATGTTTCATAATTACTTGAACTTTTAATGGAAGCTGAGTTTGGCATTAAAGTAGGGATAATTTGGATATCAAGATGCAGGAAGCAGTCCGGAAGACCAGAACATAAGAATAACGCTTGCTTTCCAATTTTTTATGTGCCTTTGGAAATGCTGCTTATAGTTTCCTGTAGCAGACAAACCACCCCATCACCTAGGGAAAGCTTTCCAAGTGCCAGAATCTGCTTCTAATTTGTAACACCTGCAGTTTCATTTGTGTGCTTCAGTAAGGAAAGCATTCGCTTTTTCTTTCAGAGAATAAAAGAAGTAGCAATTTTTTTTTCTTGCTGGTGTTTGTCAACTCAGATTTCTGCTTTGCTCAGCAAGTGGTGTTGGCAATCTGTATGAACATCTGTAATTACAAGACAAAGTGAAATGTTCTCATGCAGAATAACTAGCACAGAATGCAGAGATTAGCAATGGAAAGTAATTTTTTTTTCTTTGACAATTTACAGTTCAGTTTCTATTGTCTGTTAATGTGTGTGAGATGCTATTAATAATGGGCGTTCTCCTGATTTATAGCTGAAGTATAGGTGAAGCATAGCAAAACAACACCAATATAAAACTGGATTGTGAATAGCAGGAATTTGCTCTCACTGGTGTTAACACTGGTTTTTTATAAGGTGCACAACACTTTTCTGGCACCTCAAAAGTAACACTGCTTGCCAAAACAAGTATAGCGAGTGTTAACTTGAACGTGAAGTAAATAACTTTCTCACTTTAGATGTATCCTGTTCTGCATCCTGATGATTGTAGGTTTGGAAACTTAAATGACAAGCAATACTTATTTTTACTTTTTTTTTCCTTGCTGTTGTTACAATGCTGCCACCTCCATTTGGGAAGGAGTTGGAGGGGGAAGAGTATTTATTGCCTTCCCTTATTTGTGCCATAATGTTTCTGTTTTTATGAATCAATTCACAATTGTATTATGTGGAGGTGGTGGTACTCAACAGGAAAGCTACTTAACTGGAAGCAAAGAAGGAAGTTAGTCATATTAGTGAAGACCAGAAGACAAAAGTGTTTATGTATCATTGTGTATTTTTGGGAGGAGGAGAGGGGGGAAGGCAACTTTGTTTCTGCTCCTGCTCTTTGTATTAAAATGAACAAATTGCTTTCAGAGATTTTTTTCCTAAGTCAACTTCTTTGATACCTGCACGCGTGTGCACGCACTGCTTGCTATAGGTTTCCAAGTGGTTTTCAGGTGAAAGGGTAACTTGGATAAAATGATAACAGTGAAAGAAAGAATGAAAACAGGAAACAGATGTCTGGTGACGTCGAGTGATTGGATAGCACTTATTCAAGTGAACGACATCTTAGTCACAAGGCAGCTGTATCCTGGCTCTGATACTATAATGCTACAAATACCTTGGAGCCAAAACAGCCACGTTCCACAAAATCCGGTCATTCTACTTTATAAAGGTGATCTTTTATCATCTTATAATTGGAGAGGGCAAAGGGGGCTGTATGTTGCTTTATTTAAAATATGCAGTGCTCATCTTTTTTTTCCTGCTTATAGTACTTAGCATTTTATAACACTTGTTCTGATTTTATTTACTAGTGAAAAAAGTGACAAAGCTATAGAGGATATCCTGTTCATTTTATCTCATCAGGAGCACAAGTCTCCTGGCAACTGAATACAGAATTATCTAAAACACATGTAAGTTATTGACAAGGTTTCCAATAAATCTGTTACATAAACAGCCTCTCAGTGGGCTGTCATTTATCAGGCCCTTCAATGCAGGACTGCAAGCCAGCATTGGCATCTAAGGGCAACCTCTACGTAGGAGTCTGTACCATGTTTTCATGTTTGTAAGATAAAAGATTGGTTTCGATATCCTGTTTTGATAGTGTTTTGTTTTTCATATGCAATAATTAATTACACTGCAAGAAGCACCGAATCTTCTGTAACTGAAAAAGTGTTACCAGTTAGCAGAGAGAAAGCACATTAGTGCCATAAGATACCAAAAGTGTTCATTTTTTGTCAACATCAGGCTTGAATGGTTCCTTGATAAAACGGGTCACATATGTGAGACTGGAATGAAAAAGGCCTTTGAACAACTATCTAGCTCCGTAATTATTAAGTCTTGGTCTATTGTACCTGCAAGTGGCTGCAGGCTTGAAGTGAAGCTAGTTAAAATGAATGTCTATTCCTTTTTACTTATACGTACAACAAGACAGTTCTTAGAAGAGCTACTGACTTGTCATTCATTATGCTGCCTATTAAATTATTAGCGTTTAACAGTTAGAAATTGACCAAACCACTCACTGATTTCTGGAGATACAAAGACATAAATTATTGGCCCTGGCCTGAATCTTCTCTGGCAGAGTGCCAACATTGTTTTGACATATGAGCATAATTGATGTCAGTGCTCCAGGAAGTCATATAATAGTGATCAATTATGAAGATAGCTTCCCATTGCTATTTTATTGGGTTTTATTTCACTACTTAATTAAAAGGCTACTTCAAAGCTAATTTTGTGCTGCTGAGCACTCAAAAGTTCTGTAAGATTTGCCTACACTAATTTGAAATAGTTGCACAATTTGTTATTTTAAGTATGAAATATTAATATTATTCTTATATATCTCTAGAACAAGTGAGATGGAATGTCTGCCCAAAACGGACAATTTTGTGTAGTGGGTGCAGATTTCTCTCTTAAAATTTCCTGATCGGAGATCAGATGGGATTAGTTTTACTGAACTCATGGTCTGTATTTCAGTTTATTGTGTTGTCATTCAATATGTGAAAAGATGTACTGGGAAGTCTTGGTGTGGCAAGATCTTTGCCCATCAGAGGAAAATTGTGAATGTTGAGCTCCTTTATCTTAACCCATGCGGCCATCATTGTCTTCCTTAGCAGAAAAATGTGGCATTGTCTAACAAGCTGTCTGTTCCTTGGTGGAAGTGAGCTCTCCTCAGATCTGTCTCCTCTGTTCCATCTGTGTCTTTCCGCGGTCTCTTCTGACTTCTCCTGTTGTAGTTGTGGGAACTGCAGGGCTCAATCATTCTCACAGTGTCATCCTGTCTCGCCCACTCTGAGTTTGAAAATCTGGTTGTTTAATGTGCCTCTGGAGCAGGAAAAGTGTTGATCATTCCTGCATCTGTTTATATGAGGGGGTTTTTCGTGGCTTGAGTTTCCTGGACTGGTGTTGCTTTTGTTGTTAAAAATGTCAACAGCAGAGTTGTTTACTTGTTAACCTCGTAGATTCCAAGACACATGCTGACCACTGTGGAGAGCTCTTCGAGCAATGGATTCAGAGCTCATTTAGAGTCAGCGAGAACTGCTGGAAGGTTTTCTGTGCACTGAGTTCAGAATTATACACCCTAGATCCAAGTCTCAACAGACATTCCTGCATATCGTGCCCAAATCAGTCTGTGCTTGGACTTCTGAAGACCCAGCCTCCAGGAGGATTCACGATAGTCTGCTGATGGGATCACCCTGACTGATTTCTTATCTACAAACATAGGCAAGTTTGCATTAGCATATCAAACACTAGCATATAATTTCCCTTTGAAGTTAATATCATTTCTTTTTTAATTTTCAAATCAATGGAAGAACAGTCTACATTGCTCACAAGCAGACAACACAAACTAACTTTGTAGTCTGCAGAAATCCAATTGTCAGTCAGTAGAGCCCGGATGCTCACTGCATTTAGCCTGGAGTAGGCACCTGAGCAGCTGAAGTGCTCTCCAGGCTCCGCTATCTCTATCAGTAGTTTTAACATATAGCACATTTGTGCTATAAAATACTGGAGCTGAATCTCAATCTCTGTGTCTTCAGTGACTTGTAAGCATGAGCTGGGATGGTATTAAGGATCTACATGTCACCCTGCTCAACATTAGAAACTTCTGAAGCTTGATGCACCAAGTCCTTGAAAATTAGTATGCCGGTGCAGTAAAAAACAGAGTAAAAAAGCCAGAGGTCATAATGTCACAAGAGATGAAGCTCTGGCAATTAGATGATGAGCGTTACCTTGCAGCTATTGTAGACAGCAGCTTTTTTGAGGTACAGATATCAGTGGCACCCCCTCCTAGCAGCCTCTGTGACTCTTTCCAGGTGGATGGCTCCCATTTCCCAGCTCTGCTCTGATACTGTCATTCAGAACCTGCTTATCATCTTGACCCTCTTGGTGCAATCAGCTGCTGTTGTTTGTGCTAACTCTAAAGTATGTGTT